CTTGATATGTGTGTTTTGATTTGATCCACTATTCCTTTCTTGTCATCACCAGCTGCAACCTCAGTCAAATAACAGCAGTAGTCTCCTTTCCCTTTCAAATATTAAACGTTGCTTTCTACTTTTGAAGCATTAGGAACCAAGAGCTTTTCCAATAGGGATAGTACGTCATTGAAGATATCTCTTAGTTTGGTCTCAATTTTCTCTCTGTGTTCTTTTGGGCCATCTGCTTTTTTTCTCAGCACCTTCTGTCTTTTGCTCAATACTTAGAAACAACTCTCCAAGATGACCTTCAGGCCCCTATGACATTTTTGTAAGCAACAGAGAGAAGATTCCTTTCCTCATTGGATAATTTAGCTCCTTACTCAGTTACAGACTCTACGCAGGCTGCCATGTCATCAAATCACTCAGCCTGCTCAGTCAATTTGGCCTTTTGGCACCAGCTTATTTTTATTTATGACTGAATCTTCTGTGTCTGGTGGTGGTGGTGGGTGGTGGTGGTGGTGCTGCGGATAGACAGGGGGTTCAGCAGTCTCTGGGTGGAGGCAGTGGCAGCAGCAGGGCTGGAACTCCAGCCCCTCCTCCCCATCGCCTCTTGCCTGGAGCATCGTAAATGTCTCCTAATTGTCCTTCCTACTTCAAATTTCTCTCCTTTTCAATCCAATTCCACATAGTTGCCACAGTGATACTTTTTAAAAAAAAAATTTATTTATTTTTAGATTTCAACATTCACTTCCATAAGATTTTGAGTTCCAAATTTCTCCTCCCGTCTCTCCCCTCCCTCACCCCAAGATTGATATAGGCTGAAACAGATACATTCATGTGAAACCTATTTTCACATTAGTCATATTGTAAAGAAGAATTAGAACCAATGGGAGAAGCTGAAAGAAGAATGCTTTGATCTGCATTCAGACTTCATGGTTCTTTTTCTGGATGTGGACAGCATTTTCCATCATGAATCTTTTGGAGTTGTCTTAGATCCTTGCATGCTAAGAAGAGCTAAATCTATCAAGGTCAGTCAGTACACAATATGGCTGTTACTGTGTACAATGTTCTCCTGGTTCTGCTCACTTCACCACAGTAATGCTCGTAAAGCACAGTTCTGACCACATTACTCTGCAGAGACTCCCTATTACTTCTAAGATCAAATACAAAATTCCTCCGTATCATGTTTAAAATCCTTCACATTCTGGCTAGAACCTACCTTTTTAGCCTTATTATATGTTGCTTCCTTTCATATAGTCTATAGTCCAGACAAACTTAACTTCCTGCTTTTCCTTACATACAATGCCCCATCATCTGTCCACTAATGTGCCTTTACATAGACTGTTGCCCATGTCTGAAGTGTATTGCTTCCTCGCCTCTGTGCCTTAGAATCCCAGTTGCCTTCAGAGCTCGGTTCAACCTCCTACATGAAACCTTTCCTGATCCCCTTAGATGCTAGTGCTTTCTCCTCAAAGAATTCTGAATTTATTTTAACATACTTATTTACATGCATGTTTTCTTCCCTTATAGAATGTAAGCTTTTTGAGGCCAAGGACTGTTTCTTTTTTTGTCTTTGTATCATTGGGGTTAGTGCAGTATTTAGCACACAGTAGGTATTTGTTGTTCAGTTGTTTCAGTCATCTTTGATTCTTCCTGACCCCCACTTGGGGTTTTCTTGGCAAAGAAATTGGAGTAATTTGCTATTTCCTTTGCTAGCTCATTTTAGAGATGAGGAAACTGAGGCAAGCAGGGTTAAGTGACTTGCCCAGGGTCACCCAGCCAGTAAGCGTCTGAGGCCAGATTTGAACTCAGGAAGATGAGTTGAATCTAGGCCTAGTACTCTATCTGCTATAGCGCCTAGCTGCTCCAGGAGGTATTTAAGAAATGCTTACTGATTGACAGATTCTTCCTTTCTCTACTTTCTCCCTTTTCTAAACTATCCTGAGTGCCTCTGCTAGAAGATTCTCCTGGGGCAGCTAGGTGGCACAGTGGATAGAGCACTGGCCTTGAAGTCAGGAGGACCTGAGTTCAAATCCGGATTCAGACCAAACACTTGACACTTACTAGCTGTGTGACCCTGGGCAAGTCACTTAACCCCAATTGCCTAAAAGCAAAACCAAAAACAAAATAGAAGATTCTCCTCAAAACACTGTTACTTTCAACTAAAAAACTTCTAGTTCCTTATTTTTTTACAGAATAAAGTCAAACTCTTGGGATTCAAGGTCTTACAATGTGGCTCCTCCCAACCTTCTGATCCTCTCTGAATCCTCTGATGCAGTTAAACTCCGTCTTATGGATCTTGAAGACACAATGTGTATTCTACTTATACTCTTTGTCTCATAGTCATTCTTTCTCCCTGGAATTCCCTCCTACCTTTTTTGTTTTTTAATTTATCTAAGTCCTATCCTCCCTTCAATGCCCATCTCATGTTCCATCTTCCCCTCCATCAACTCTTACACTCCCAGTCCAGTTCTTGGTGATGTCACATTCTGATGGACTCCCTATAGCATTTGCTTTGTGCCATATATTTGGCTCTTAGCATATCACCTTGTGTTGATAATGAGAGAAATGATTATTTCTCATATTAATATCCAATTATTGAATTAGGACTAAGGTTTTTCCTTAGAAAGTTCCTCATAGGGGCAGCTAGGTGGCACAGTGGATAGAACTCTGGCCTTGGAGTCAGGAGTCTGTGAGTTCAAATCCAGTCTCAGACACATGTCACTTACTAGCTGTGTGACCCTGGGCAAGTCACTTAACCCCGATTGCCTCACCAAAAAGCAAAAAAAAAAAAGAAAGTTCCTCATTCAGGAATCAGTTCCCCAGTAGGTTATTCAGCCAGCTTGGAAGGGTAATTGATAATGAGATAAGATTACCTTCTCAATCTTGTTCAGACCTCACCCAACACAGAAAGCCCTCAGGCTTGTGTGGGCTGTAGATCCTTTGTCTAGATTGTCCTGAAATGGGAGTGATCTGGGAGTTAAAAGTGACATAATCAAAGTCATGTCCCCCAATGCCTTATAAGGATAGGTCCACCTCTCATTATAATATTCATTATCTCATTAATTGTTAACCAATTTAGATCTCCATTTGTGGGGAACACCCGTTCTTCCAAGGTCTTTGGTTCACAAGGGATGGCCAAATGACCAATCCGTTTTATTAATTATTCATTAGCCATAATAAATAAAATGTTTAATTACCTGGAAATCACATCTTTTGAGCTTTTTATATGTCATTGTGACATATACATACGTGTGTGTATGTGTGTGTATGTGTGTGTAGGGTAGTCCAAAAGCCTTAGGGCAGCTTTAAGCTATTAAATCTACTAAAACTTAAAACTGAACTAAGACTTTTTGGGCCACACTATACATAAAAAAATGGGTTTCCAGGACTGGAGACTTTTGCCTTCAGTTGAGTATGTGAAAGGAGACTCCTAATTGGTGGAGAGAATGTTGAGTAAGGCTGAATACTGTACCAATGTGAGGAACAGATCTGGCCAGAGTTTTGGGGAGAGACATGAATGAGTTCTAGACGTTCTTCAGGAGAGAAAGGAAGACGTCAAAGTTTCAGACGGGTAAGGGAAGCTGGCTCAAAATCTCCCTAGAGGTTTTGGGAAATTTCTCCTTAAATGAGATTTAGGCTACTCTCTTGGTTTGTGCTGAGATAATCTTGTTCCCAGCTAGAAGTCCCATTCACTGGTATATTTTCTGGTATTTACTAATTTGTATTACTTCTCTACTTGCTATTTGTGATAGTCTTTTGTGTAACTTGGGTCAGGTAGGAAAGACTCAAACTGTCAAATATACGCTGAGGGTTTAGGACCAAGGAAGCAGCTTTTGTTTTGAATTCCTAAAAAAGTAATCCTACCTTTAAGCCAACAATATGTAAGGGGGGTAGGTAGATAGGTATAATTTTAGTCTAATAAGAAAGTGAACAAGTACCCACAGTCCTTCTCCAGCTCCCTTGAAGGAGAAAACCATGGTCTCCTTTGGAAAGGTATAGGTCATAGTCCAAGGTTATGGATCTATACCACCTGTCTCAGAGCTGCATTTAGACAACCCATGTACATATACATATCTTACATAGGCACATATATATCATATATATATATATACATACATATATATTGCTTTGCAAACTTTCAGGCCATATATAAATGCTGGCTATTGTTGTTACTTTTATTATTATCTCTTCTTTTACTATCTGTGTAACACTGGGCAAGTCATTTAACCTTTTCCAGCTTCAGATTCCTCATCTGTACAATACTACCTGCAGTAACTACCTCACTTCGTTATTTTGAGATTCAAACGAACTAATGTATGGAAAAGATTTTGCAAGCCTTAAAGCTCTATATCAGAAGTTCTTCATCTTTTCGTGTATCATGGGCCCTCTTTGGCAGTCTGGTAAAACTTGTGGACCGTTTCTCAGAATAACGCTTTTAAATGAATAGAATCAAATATATAGGATTACAAAGGAAACCAATTATATTAAAAGTCATAAAATATATTTTTTAAAGATCACCCACTCCAGGTTAAGAACCTTTGCTTTTCGTGCATTTTATTATTACTAATAAAGCAAACGCCTGGGGCGATAGGGCCTGAGTTTCATACATTTTTGTAGCTTCTTCCCAGCAACTTACATGTAAAAATAACCTGATTTTTACAATGCTTTAAGGTTTACAAAGAATAGGTTTCTAGTTTAATTTACTGATAAAAAATGAAAAAGGGGACACTTGTAGAACTAACCAAGATTGACTTAACTAGCAATACCGGATGAAACAAATGGGCATTTTGATCTCTGGGTTACGTCACCCAGTTGAGGACTTCCACATCACCCGATAGGGAGGTGGAGGAGAAAAGGGGCGGGGAGAGGACTGGCTATGTGGGCGGGGCTATAGGCCAGGCAAAGGTCAAAGTAAATCACTCTGGCTTCCCCTTGGGAATGCGCTTGCGCTTGCGTAAGAGAGACACAACACGACAGCCGGAAGGCGTCGAGTCTCTTGAGTTTGCGCAGGCGCAGAATTGTATCCGGGCGGGGGAGGGTAGAGACGACTTTTGCGAGCTTCACCCGTAACCCAAATAGCCCCGGTTAAAAAAAAAAACACCCACAAAAAACACCAAACGGCAGCGGCGTCCCCAGCGGCGACTCGCGCATGCGCAGGCCACTCCCCGTCAGTGAAGGGGAGAGCGCCGGAGGCGGCCAGCTGGCTCAGGAGCTGCTACCGGGGGCCAGGATGGATGAGGACGTACTGACGACCCTGAAGATCCTAATCATTGGGGAGAGCGGGGTGGGCAAATCCAGGTGAGGGGTACGCGGGGGGCGCGGCCTGCGGGTTTGTCCTTCTTTCCCTCCCTGCTCAATTCCATTCGTGTCCTGACGGGGAACGGGGAACGGTAAACGGCAAGGCCGGCGGGCGGGCGGGCGGTGAAGCCTGGGCCGGGCCTGGGTCTGGGCCTAGACCTGCTTCTGCGCCTGGCGGCGAAGACTACCCCCTCCCCGCCCCCCACATCCCCAGGCTTCCCTCCCGGCTGCCCCACCCCCACCCCCATCCCCATCCCCACCCCCATCCCCATCCCTGCCTGGGCCGGGCCCAGCTGGGCTCCCCCGGAGAGCCTTGCAACGGGGTTGGGGTGGGGGACCACCGGCCCTCTGGGAAAACCAGCTGAAGGCGTGGCCCGGGCTGCCTTCTGCTCCTCGGTACACTTAGGGCAGGCCGGGCTCGCCCCAAGGCTAGGGCGGGGGCAGGGGGCGTGCGGGCTCTGGAGAGAGGTCCCGGCCCTGCCTCGGCTGTGGCCTAGACCCCCGCCCCATCCGTCAGCTGGGGGCCCAGCTGCTTTTGGCGCTGTCAGTGGGCCTCCCCCCCCCCGTTTGCTAATTCATATCAGGCTTTAGGTGACTAAGTAGCTCAGACCTGCAAGTCTTTGCAAACTCCCCGGCTCACTTTCCCAGCCTGCTCGGTCCCGGGGTAACGAGTGGGGAGGAGGTTCCTCCCAAGCCTCCTTCACAAATTCAGGTTCCACTTAGGTAGGAGTCTTTTATCTTATCTCAGTGAAAGCTGCCATTAACAGTGCCAGCTCCTTCGGAAGAAGAAAAACAGCGAACAGCTCAGTATTGGTTGGGTTTTTTTTCTCTTTGATTTGTTCCCCCCCATGAATAATGCTGACTGTTGGTTGAGTTGAGGATAAGCTATGGCTTGCTTTTGGATCCACCCTCAGATGTGGGTCTGTATGGATGTTGTAGGAATGTTGTAGTGATTACAGCCGTCATTCCTGAACAAAGTTCTTCAGATGAAGTCATCGTTTGGTCGCATGATCCTGAGTAAGGTTACCTGCGGGCAGCCTTGTTGTTTAGACAAGATTAGAGTCTCAGGTCCTCTCTACCTGCGGAAGGAAGTTTCTCTTCTTAAAACTGTGTACCGGAGGTGTTTTTGATTTTTCTTAGTGATAAGAATTGTTCTCAGCTAAAAGAAAGGTGATCCTTGCATTAATTTGCCTATCTGTGATTCCTTGAAGCTTGTTCTGTGGTTTCTCTTGACAATTTTTTTAAAAAGTATTACAATATTACCATATATCCCATTTCCTTGAATGTATCCAATTTAGAGAATTGAGAAAAGTATCCCATATCCTTAGGGCTAGCCCAGGGATGGGGAACCTGAGTCCTCTAGGCCGCAGGTAGACCTCTAGGTCCTTAAGTTCAGCCTAGCTGGGTGGTTCAGTGGATAGCCTGGAGCGGGGGTGTGAAACTTGTGGCCTTGAGGCCCTCAAGTATAGCCCTTAGACTGAATCCAAACTTAACAGAACAAGTCCCCTTAATAAAAGGATTTGTTCTGTAAAACTTGGACTCGGTCAAAAGGCCACACCCCAGAACCTAGAAGGCCACTTGTGGCCTTGAGGCCCCAGGTTTCCTACCCCTGGGCTAGACCATTGAAAATTTATGGAGTACTGTGTTAGTGTTGGGTTTTTTTGGTTTAAATTAGGATTGTATATAATACTTAGCTTTAGTAAGCATGTATTTATTTTCTCCATCATCCATTATCATCCCAAATTTAGTAAATGTTAAAAGTTCTTATGGGTACTTAAAAAAATGTATTAATTTATTTTGATTTATCAATCACTTCTATATGCTTTTGAGTTTAAAATTTTTCTCCCCCTTCCTCCCCACCACCCTCTCCAAGATGGTGCACAATCTCATATAGGCTATACATTTACATTCCTATTAAACATATTTTCCCATTAGTGAAGTTATAAGTAAAAATTAAAACCAATAGGAGGAACCATCAGAAAGAGGAAACAAAACTCAACAGAAGAGAAAAAAATGGTAGTGATTCAACTTCCATAGTTCTTTCTTTGGATGTGGATAGATAGCATTTTCCATCACAAGGCCTCTGGAGATGTCTTAGATCCTTGTAGTGCTGAGAAGGGTTAAGTTTATCATTATTAGTCATCACATAACGTGGCTGTTATTGTCCTCTTGGTTCTGCTCACTTCTCTCTGCATCAGACCATACAAGTCTTTCCAGGTTTTTCTGAAGTCAACTTGTTCATCATTTCTTATAGCACAGTAGTATTCCATTACATTCATATACCACAATTTGCTCAGCCATTCCCAATTGATGGGCATCCTCTCAATTTCCAATTCTTTGCCACCACAAAAAGAGCTGCTATGAATATTTTTGTACATGTGGGTCCTTTTCCCATTTGTATGATCTCTTTGGGATATAGCCCTAGAAGTGCTATTGCTGGATCAAAGGGCATGCACATTTTGATCCAAATTGTTCTCCAAAATGGTTGGATCATTTCGCAACTCCACCAACAGTGCATTAGTGTTCCATTTTCCCACATCTTCTCCAACATTTATCATTTTCCTGTTTTGGTCATGTTGGCCAATCTGATAGGTGTGATGTGGTACCTCAGAGTTGTTTTGATTTGCATTTCTCTAATCAATAATGATTTAGAGCATTTTTTCATGTAGATGGCTTTAATTTCTTCATCTGAGAACTGTCTTAATATCCTTTGACCATTTGTCAATTGGGGAATGGCTTATATTCTTATAAATTTGTCTTAATTCTCTATATATTTTAGAAATGAGGCCTTTATCAGAGAGACTGGTTGTAAAAATTCTTTCCCAATTTTCTACCTTCCTTCTAATCTTAGTTGCATTGGATTTGTTTGTGCAAAAACTTTTCAATTTAATGTAATCAAAATTATCCATTTTGCTTTTCATAATGTTCTCTATTTCCTGTTTGGTCAGGAATTCTTCTGTTCTCCATAGATCTGATAGGTAAAGTATTCCTCATTCTCCCACTTTGCTTGTAGTATCAACCTTTATATCTAAGTCATGATCCCATTTTGACTTTATTTTGGTATATGGTATGAGATTGGGTCTATGCCTAGTTTCTGCCATACTCTTTTCCAGTTTTCCCAGCAGTTTTTTTTCAAAGGGGGTTCTTATCCCAGAAGTTGGGGTCTTTGGGTTTATCAAATAATAGATTACTGTAGTCATTAACTACTGTGTCTTGCATATTTAACCTATTCCACTGATCCACCACTCTTTCTTAGCCAGTACCAAGCAGTTTTGATGATTGCTGCTTTATAATACAATTTAAGATCTGGAATTGCTAGGCCGCCTTCCCCTGCATTTCTTTTTCATTAGTTCCTTTGATATTCTGGACATTTTGTTCTTTCAAATGAATCTTGTTATTATTTATTCTAACTCTACAAAATAATTTTTTGGTAATTTGATTGGCATGGCACTGAATAAGTAAATTAGCTTAGGTAGGATTGTCATTTTTATTACATTAGCTCGGCCTACCCATGAGCAACTGATGTTTTTCCAGTTATTTAGATCTGATTTTATTTGTGTGAAAAGTGTTTTGTAATTGTGTTCATAGAGTTCCTGGGTTTATTTCGGTAGGTAGACTCCTAAATATTTTATGTCTGCAGTAAGTTTAAATGGAATTTCTCTTTCTATCTCTTGCTGTTGGGCTTTGTTGGTAATACGTAGAAATACTGATGATTTATGTGGGTTTATTTTATAGCCTGCAACTTTGCTAAAGTTGTTTATTATTCAAGTAGTTTTTTACTTGGTTCCCTATGTCATCATGTCGTCTGCAAAGAGTGATAGCTTTGTTTCTTCTTTGCCTATTCTGATACCTTCAATTTCTTTTTTTTCTCTTATTGCTAAAGCTAACGTTACCAGTATAACATTGAATAACAGTGGTGGTAATGGACATCCTTGTTTCACCCCAGATCTTATTGGAAATGCTTTTAGCCTGTCCCTCATGGGTACTTTCTAACTCTAGTCCTTGGTTGCTGTCTTTTCTTCAGTGTAAAGAAGAAATTATTCACTGTAGTCATAGGATCATAGAGTTGTAAAGGACCTCAGAAGCCATCTAGTTCAAATGATAAGGAAATTGAGGCCTAGGGAAGTTGTGGCTTGCCTAAGGTCACGAGTCATTTTCTGCATATTAAATAAGTGGTGATAACTTATATATGTGTAGTACCTAAAGATTTACAAAACACTTAACTCATAACGCTGTATGGTAGGTGGTGGCAGTTCCAGTTTATGGATGAGTAAATTCAAGCCTTTATGGGCTTATGGGATAAAGTAAAGTGACTTCCCCAAGGTAATAAATGGCAGGACTGGGATTCAATTTCAGCTCCTTTGACCACAAATCCATTCCCTTTTCTAGTGCATCATAATGTCTCACTAATTTACTATAATGGAAACTCAGGCATTTTAAAGCAAGTAATACAAGACAAGTTTGTCATGAATGTCAGCCTGAACCAAATATACCCTTGATTGATTTTTAGATTGAAAGTTGAACTTATTGTGAAGTCAGGTGAAGGAGGTGGTTTCTAAGGCTCCTTCCAGCTTTAAATCCTGTCAGTTTTATGAATTGTTATTATTAGTGTGTTGAGAAATTCCTGAGTGACACATGGGTGTCTAAACCAATCTTTATCAGTAGACCTGTGATCTAATTTTATTTGAGGTAGCGTGGAATGGTCATTAGACTAAAGGGCAAGAAACCTAGATGTTCTAGTCCTGGTCCTAACAGAGTTATATGATCTTGGACAATTCACTTTAACTTTCCTAGGCCTCAGTTTCCTCATCTGTAGAATGAGGAGGAAGTAGAGATGATTCATAACAACCTTTCTAGATCTTAATAGTCTATTATGTTAGGTCAGCTTATTCCCTCTTTTCTTCTGTCATCTTTATTACTAATATTAAAAATTTCATTGACAGGCAGTGACAAACATTTGATACAGACAAATGCAGGATGGAGGAAAAATGGCTTAACAG